GCATGTCCTACAAAACGATTACAAATGATGAGTGTAAAAAGGTGATGACTCAATTGACCGACACGGAGATCTGTGCATTGGAGCGGTTCGGCAAAGGAGCGTGTAATGTATGTATGGAAAAAGTGAGTGATCGTGAGGAGTGAATTTTTATGAAACGCTTTTGTAGGGTGACTCTGGTGGTCCGCTGGTGATGGAGAATGGTGATAGCTTGAAGCAGGTTGGCGTGGTTTCCTATGGTACGGCGCTTTGTGCATCTAATAATCCAGATGTTTACACTCGTGTGTCTATATTTGATGAGTGGATTAAAGAGCGCCTGGCTTGAAAGAAAGTTCTAGTTTGTAACCTTTTGAAATGGAATTGAATTAAACTTTTTGGATCAACTATTTTAAAATTATTATATTTTTTGTCTCTGCAACAGAACTGTTTATAAAACTATATAATTAATGATCTATGGATTTATGTTATTACTTCTATTCATATATCGACGGTGGGTTGAAAGATTGCCCTATCTCGGCTGCCGGTTCAAAAACGCGCTATCTCAGCAAATGGCTCAAGCACGCCCTATTTGAGAATTTGGTTGAAGAACGCTCTATCTCAGCTGCCGATGTATTTAATTTAAATTGAGATAGCGAATTTTAGAACTGCCAGCCGAGATAGGGCGATCTTCCCTTCAGCCGACTATACATATGGAGTGCTCAAATAATAGTTTCGAAAAGAGACTCAACTCAAAAAAATGTAGCTAAATTTTTTTGCATAAATCAATTCGTCGGATTTATCTCCAACTAATACCGGGATTAGTCTCATTAGGGTATAATTTGGCATTAATTAGTCCCCGACTAATCTCTAATGCATACAGTTAACGATTTAATGCTATGTATGTATACGGTGACCATCCGTCCTTTATTTTAAAGGACAGTCCTTTATTTTAACCCCTTGTCCTTTATAATTTTTGTCAAAATAAAGGACGCCATTTGTCCTTTATTTCTTAAACTGTCCCTTAAATTAGCTTTGGATTTTGCAGAGGTAAATCTTTAAACATAGAATATGAAAAAAATAAAAATTTCCATAATAAAACAGAATGAAAACCTTCGTCAGTTTGCTTCGCACCCCACTTAATATTCTCTTGATAAGAGGAAATTTATGTAATTGCAAAGAAAAAGTTAACTAATATTTAGACATTTTCCCAGAAAAATTAATATACTTTGAGTAAAATTCATTGTTGACAAAAGCACAGGGAAAGTTGTGCCCAGGATCGTGTTGCACGATATGTATTCAGATCCACTGAAAAATAACAATAAACCTCCGCTCATTTATGGTAAAGGCATTGTGGCAGCAAAGGATGACGAAGTCCTTGATAAGGATTTGGTTTCATTTTTCGGAATCGTTTAAAATCCGGTTACAGCGCCTTTCGAGAAGAGGAACTTGTACAATTTAATAATATAATTAACTGGCAAATATTTGATCTAAATTACCATCATACAAGTTGTATGTTCGTATTCTAAAATCATTGGGAAAAATGTCCTTTATTTTACGTTCGTTAATATGGTCACCGTATGTACGTAGGCACTAAGTCAATGAAATTTAATGTGCCACGTTGACATTTTCGAATCGCAGCTGGCGCAAGTTTTTATATTTATTTTTTAAAAGCGACTCATGCTTTTTATACCCATTCGGGTATAAAGGGGAACAATTAATCTCTTCCAGGATACGCTAAAGCAAAGGCGATCAGTTCATTCCTTTTCGATTGCTCCCGAAGTCGTCTCGAATTAGTCGATTTTTTTTTGGGATAATACAACCACATAAACATTTGCATATCTGAGTACATTCCTAGTGGAGGTGAAAGAAAATCCAAAGAGTGTAACATAGGGACAAATATAAAGGTGTTCCTCTTCGTTTATTTCGTCGCATGTGACTTTGACGATATCGTTTGGCGCAGTAGTCTGATAAAGCGGTCATGCGCCGCCCGAGAGAAATTCGGTGGAAAAATACGCTTCTGATTTTCGTCAGTGAGAATGACAAAGTAACAACAGAATTATTTGAAAATCGTTTACCACTTAAAAAGTATTTCCTACAGGGCACCCAATATACTCAACTAATTTAAATAGTTTTTGTTGCTGCAAGTAAATTCTAACCAGCATAATCACCGAAGGGAAACCTTCGCATGCATTTCAAGTGCAGCCCTCCGCCCTGACCTATCTGATAGCTATGCAAATGTTGCAGTCGGCGGTTGTGAGGTCGCACTGCTCAGCACGCTAATTGCTCACAACTATGTAATTGCAATGGTTATACTTAATGTTCTGAACTATAAATAGTCGCGTTTTAATTTGAAATCCATACAAAGTACTTTTAAAATTCAAACTGTTAGTTAGACTGAAAATAATTTCGCCTCGAACCGATGCTAATGGAACTAAATTTCTACGCGATTACTTTTTTAAATGTTTTGGTTTCGCTGGCTTACGGTATGTAAAGCTCCTCTCCTCACTCTTCCATTTGCGCTCAGTTGCCCCCTTCTACACTTAATTTTTTTAGGAAGCACCGCAGACTCAACGCGCATAGTTGGTGGCAATGACGTGCCTCCTGGGGAATATGTTCCCTACCAAGTATCCCTACAGTATTTTACTAAAAAGAATGAGTACCAGCACTTTTGTGGCGGCTCCATTATAGCACCAAGCCGTATTTTGACCGCCGCTCACTGCTGCAATGGCTTTGATGTGAAACGGATGACAGTGCTGGCCGGCGTTCGCGACCTTAACGACTCGGAAGGTGTACGAGTGCAGGTAGCTTCCTACGATATTCACGAAAACTACGAAGAACTTGTGACCAGTGATATAGCTATCCTGACACTAGTCGAACCACTGAATTTGGATGGAGTACGAATGGCAGCTATTGACGTTAGGGGTTCTG